CACCCACACAACCACACCCACACCCACACCCCACACCCACACCCACACCCACACCCACACCCACACTCACACCCACACCTACACCCACACCCACTCACACCCACACCCACTCACACCCACACCCACACCCTCTAAACCTTTTTTTGTAGAGTATATCATGCTACAAAAAAACATATTTAATTTTATCGTAATAATGTGCACATTTGGACTTATATTTGGAAACACATACTAAAAAGGAAAGACTACCCCACACGAAATAGATATCAAGAACAATACCACAACCCAACTAAAACTTTCACAGTAATGTTATTTTTAGTGAATATCTATTCTCTAGAATCTGGTCAATGCATCTTCATCAAGATTGTTAAGATGACAAAATATCAAATAGACTGTTGAAAAAAATACATTTTACGCTCTAGAAGCTAAATGTCAAATCATTGTATCAATATTTCGATTATTTTTTCACTTGGTGGGAAACCGAAGCAATTTTCGGCTACAGAGAAATAACAATCGAAAACATGTGGCGAATGATCTTCATTAAATAAATATACAAAAGCTCCATGTGGGGATGGTTTCCATGATGACTGACGATCTTCACTAAATAATAATTCATATGGATTAACAAAGGCAAAATATTTTGCACCTTTTTCGAGAAGACATGGAAGTGTTACACGCTAAATAAATGAAAACTATTGATAAAAGCTATAATTATGAAAAAAAGAAGTTATTACTTGGAATCGGTTTTCTTTCCAAAGTGGCTCTGTGAATTCTTTTCTCCAAATACATCGTTTTTCAAAAGTTAGTCCATTATTAGCAGCTACAACTAATGAATAAATACGAATAAGTTGAAGTTGATCAATGTTATTGTTTTTCGTATTGAAGTATGCAAATCCACCTATTCTTAGTAGATTTGATTCGTCTGAACTATCTAAAGTAATATTATCATCATTAGGTATAAATGTCGGTGGATAGAGCCAACAAAAATGTGTTGCATCGTCTGGAATATTCACTGTTGTACGTGCGAATCCTTTAAGAGTAATTGGAACAACTGGAGCATGGATACCTATACATTTTTCATCATTAGTTAGTGTTCGTCCTCGAATTTTAGTGATTCTGTATTTAAGTGTAGGCAGAAGTAGGATAAATGAAATATCAACTTCATGAATTTCTACACATAGATATATAGAAGTATATATTTATAATAAACTCGTTAAATACGCACCAAAAGGCCCTAATGCATCGATAAGCGGATGATGAAACATACTTTCACTAGCCATGTCGTGTCCTACTTGAAATACCCAACGACCATCTTGATAAAATATGAAACTATCTTGTGGTATACCAGTTTCTTCAATTTTTTGGACTACCGAGAATGGAAGCAAATTGACACCTGGCATTTATATTACGCGTTATGTTTCTGCTTTAATATTGTGAGACATTGCTTTTTAGATTATTTTGTGTTCTTTTATTTAACATGGTCATGTGAAGGTTCTACAATAACTGCTTTTATTCTCTGTAGCAAAAGAAAAGAACGAAAAGAAATCCTTACAAGGTATTTTGAAAGAAACTATTATTTCTCAAAACAACTTTATCAACGTATGCTCTTTAGATTCGAAGAAAGGCAGGGTGTGGGTGTGGGTGTGGGTGGGTGTGGGTGCGAATGTAAATAATGAACCAATTAAGACTTATACCCACACCCACACCCACACTCCTTCCATTTTCAATTTACAGCTTCAAGTTTCTAGTGTAAGCGAGAGCGACTGTAAGTCGAGACGCCTTGAAGTCCCTTCGTGGCACCCTCACCTGCTGCGATAATGTGTGAGTGAGATCGCATGTGAGTCGCGATGCCTGCTGAAACTTGAAACTTGAAACTTGAAACTTGAAACTTGAAAATTGAAAATTGAAGTTTCAGTTGAAAGTTGAAATTTCAGTTGAATTCAAGTTTCAAGTTTAACATATATGGGGTTCTTGGGGATCTGTATGGGTATGGTGTTGGTGTGAGGGTGTGCGTGTATGTGTGAGAGTGGGTGGGTGCGATTGTGAGTGTGGATGTGCTTGGGGGTTGTGGTGCTACCATTGACCTCCATTGAGGGAAGGATTATGGTCTCCTTTGTTGGGTGTGGATTTGGTTTTCTATCGGTGGGTATGGGCGGAGGTGTGGATTGATGAGTGTAATGTTTTTCTCTTTTCTACACCTATTTCCACATAGCGACTAGCATGCATACTCCTACACATACCCGAGGTTGCATGCTCGCAGGTGCATCATAAAAAAGGAATACGTGACTGATAAAAGACTCTGTGGTGCCGAGACCCTTGACCTGCTCTTCCAAGCAAGGAGAAAAGATAATGAGTGACCCCAAAAAGAGAAATGTAAGTCACGCATTCGAAAAATATAATCAGGAAAGGGTGAAAAATATTTTTTTCGTCAGAAGGAACTAGCTGCTATAGAGTTGGATGATAAAAGCGATCAACAAATTTTGCTCCATGACAGGTTGTCGATGTATAGGCAACAGTGTTTCTGAAAGCACAGAATGCGACTAGTCTTCGCATTGGTATACTCCTGATTTCTTTTTTATTCACAGGAACTGACTTTCTCTGAGTGGAGTAGTTTTATTTTTTGGCAAATGAATGATTAAGGAGGCCCCCTGTAATACGTTCTTGAGAAGTCAATTTGAAAAAAAAAGTTTACTGCGAAGGTTTGAACTATTAGCCGTTGGGTGTGGGTGTGGGGTGTGGGTGAGGGTGTGGGGTGTGGGTGTGGGTGTGGGGTGTGGGTGTGGGTGTGGGTGTGGGTGTGGGTGTGGGGTGTGGGTGTGGGTGTGGGTGTGGGGTGTGGGGTGTAGAGAATAACAACAAAAATAGACACACACAAACCAATAACCACAACCACACCCACCCACACTCACATCCACATCCACATCCACACCCACACCCACATCCACATCCACACCCACCCACACCCACACACACACACGCTTAGTATTGCTAGTCTTACATTAACTGCTCAAAGATCTTGTGGGTGTCAGTGCAGGTGTGTGAGGGGTAAGATAAAATGCCTACACACATACTGACACTCCACACCAACACCAGACACACCCTTAAACCACGCTAGGATCCACACTCACACCAGCGAGAGAGCCTCTGTTTTAGAACCGAAAGAGAGGGGAAATTTATTTTCTCTGTGAATTAAAAATTATATTTTCTTTATTCGGTTAATGTTGCTTTTCACTAGTTTAGTATGTGGATGTCCTGGTGGTAGTGACCATTCCCATATACCTCGTGCTTTTTCGTACTTTGACAGCGCCCTTTTGTAATCTTTCATGTGCTCGTGAAGATTGCCCATGTTTTTGTATGAAGTAGCCAAGTCAGGATGATTCGGTTGGAGAGCTTTTTCTCGGATTTCAAGTGATCGTTCATGCATTGAAAAAGCTTTTGAATACTCTCCCATGTTATCATACACCATGCCGATATTGTTGTAGGAGGTAGCCAAGTCAGGATGATTCGGTGGGAGAGCTTTTTTTCGGATTTCAAGTGATCGTTCATGCATTGAAAGAGCTTTGGAATACTCTCCCATGTTATTATAGATGGTACCAAGTTGAAGATTGTAATCGACGCAATCTTTATGAGAAGAAGCTTCTGGAAGCAGGATTTGGTAGAGATATTCTGCTGTCCGGAATTCTCCAAGTTTAATAAGTATACGAGCAAATCGAGACCATCCTGTCGTATTATCCAGGTCTTGACGTAAGTGTTCGGTAAGCCCACTCAGTTCGTGATCTCTATTATTTGTGAGAGTGAGGTAGACTTGATAAAGTCGATCAGTTTGCTTATCAGGAATTCGTTCGATTCGATCAATGCGGAAGATTGTGTGTGTAGAAAATAAAATTTCTTTTTCCATATCTTTGTAGTATCCTTCCTCTTTAACATGAGCGAAAGGAATGAATGACTGAGCACATAATGCCGGATCAATTTTCATTACAAACAGAATACCAACTATATTTGGATTATGAAGTGCTGCTATCTTTGAATATTGTTCAAGCATTATGTTGCGATCCAGACTTGTTGAAAGGAAGTTATTAAAGGACATAAGTCTGCCCAGCCTTTGTTTCATTTCCTGGAAATGTTCAATTGACAGTCCTTGACCACGGAAAACTTGGAACGGTGCTTTTATCTTGATCTTGGATTGTTGTTCATGATATAATCTCTTAATATGCATGTGTAAGTGACGAATAAAAAATCCCATTTTACTAATGATATCAATATCCATGAGTCGGAGACCCCGGGCGATCATTGAATACATGAAATACGGTGCAGTATACCACCATATTGTTGAATGGTTAAGATACTCACGTTCAATCTTGCTAATCTCCGCTTCATCAATATTATCTTGTTGACGGCAGTAGTGAACGAAATCTTTAATTGACTTCTGATCGTCATCTTCGATTTCTAAAAGTGCTTCTGTTAATAACTGTGTATACATAAACGTTGGTTCAATGTCGGAAAATGAGATTGAAACCATGACTTGGTCACAATTTTCGTAGTCTGCTTGTAACGCTTCGCAAATAGGTTTGATTTGTGTGTAAACACTCTTTACTTTTGGCCACTCTTCTGCCCACCTCTCATGAACTGATTTATTGCTGCAAAAAATATATACAGATTCTAATTGCGACCATGCATGAATCTTTGGTATAATGTGCTGTCCTAATGAGCCAGATACAATCAGATATACTTTTTCTCCTTTGATTTCACTGATAAAAGTAATACATTCCTCAGCATCTGTAAAAGTTGTGATTGATGGCACGATTTGTCTTAAATGTTGCAATGAATTTTTAAAGTAATCCTCAAATTCATTAAATGTAGCGTCAAGCCAAATTAGAACAAAGCTTGATAAATTTTGACGAGCGCGCCTAGGACGCACAGTAGTTTCACTTGTGGTGGTGACGACTGGTACTATACTTGATTCACTACTAGTAGGCAAAGATGATGATAAGTCCTTGGATTTATCTACAATAGATGAAAACAATGAGCCACCAGCAGAGGTTCTGTGTGGCTGCTTTTCATCCATAACGAATGCATGATGAATACCTTCTAAAAAGAACTTCTTCACAATCTCCAGAGTTTTAAGTTTGACAGAACCGGCAGATTTGATATCATTCTTCAGTAAGATGCTGTCCCAAAGACTTTGATATGGAATGCTTCGAGAGCATGTAAGAATTAATGCAGATGAAGAAACGATTTGCATCGATTCGGATCGAACTCAGCTTCTTCAACTTTCGGTAGCAAGAAACAGTTCTGTACCGTAAGACGAAAGTTTCAACCTTTGTGAAAGGTGATATTTTAAAATGAAGCAGACTGCACTACAAACTTCTATCGCTTTGATTCTCACCATCGACTATCTTGGACAATTAAAATGTCTGCTTCATAATCGATACGTAAGATTTCATGACAAGGACACTAATCCCTATCCATGAGCTTCACTTTTATATGGTCTTTACTATAATGCTTTTTCTCAGAAAAATGCTCATGTTTACGCTGAATACTCTCTTTTGAGCATATTAAACTTCCTTTTGATGAGCTTACCTGTCGAATTGTTTGATTTATTAATCTCGTAAACGGTAGACAAGGTTTTTTGACTTTGTAGTGCTAAGCCTTTTTGATGCCATTGGACACTCTTGTCATAGTCACCGGCATGCGATGCGAGTTTTGCAAGATCTTCATACAAACTAGCAAGTAAAGAATCATCGGGTGATATTGTATCCAAGAAACGAATTAAGTATTTTTCAGCTAGATTAAATTTTCCCATTTCCCATAAAACGCTTCCTAATGTTCGAAGAGTTGTTTCTCCACTGTAGAGTTTGTTTTTCATATGGATAAGAACATTTTTTAATTCGTGTTCATGCTCACTACATAAATTCATTTGGATGATCCACACTTGACCATCACCATTTCGGTCGATGCTATTCAAACGAAAAATAGATCCAAGCATAAAGAGTATTTCCGACTCGCCAGGAAAGTCACTGCATACACTAATGTCAGCAAATGGTTTTTTAGCAGCTACTTCAGGATCGGCAATGATTTCAAATAATACCGGTTCCACATTTTCTGCAGCGTTGGAAGCATTCAGAAAGCCACGAGCTTGTTTTTCGTCGGTACTCGTAGAAAAAAATGAACTGATGGAGATAAATTGTCCACGGCATTTCTCTAAAGTTTTCAGTTCATCACTTGATATCATTTGGCCTCGATAAACACGCAGCGTTTTCTTGGCTTGATGATGTTTCAGCTGACGCTGAATATCAGAGATATATTCACGAAATAAAAAGATCATATGAATATTGTCTATGCGCAGAACGGCATTAAGAGTCTTGTAAAAGAATGAATCACGTGTATACCACCATAAGACTTTGTCGGGGGAATACTCTTTTTGGAATTCACGAAGATTTTTCAATTCGAAATTATTATTTTCGTGTATATTTTTACAAATATTTATAAGCTCTTTTTTGTCTGCTTCATTGGATTTAAGTTGCAGGAGGCAATCGATAAGAACCTGCGAAAAAACAAACTTACCATTAACGCCTCCTGTTGATTTACCGGTAGTAAAAGTATTAATTGACAATGGTTCTTCAACAACTTTTTGAATTTTGTGATCAGCTTTAATTTGAGAAATGAGTTCTTCAAATTTATCAACAACCGCTTTTACCTATCGCGAAAAAAGTCACAAAATGAAGCGGGAATCAGCAGCTTAATTTTACTTTCCAAAACTTGCAAGCCCATTTTTCATGGCCTGCTTTATCCTGACAATACACGTAAATCGATATAACTTGTCGAAGTTTATGAATAGATGGGACTATTTCGCGCCCCAATTGACCACTGACAATCATGACTAACCGATCGGTTTTTGGTCGCCCTTCAACAAACTGTTTACACTGAACTACATCGTGAAATCTTTTGAATTGATTAATGATAGAACGTAGCTTTTGTTCTGTATCTCGATTATCTTTAGCGCTTGGATTAGCATTAAGCCAAATAAGGCAAAAGATTTCCAGACATTGATCATCAGCTTTTATCTTAAAATCATCATTTGATGCAGCAATAGTAGCCATGTTATTCAAGAAGATTCGATAGAATAAAATGTTGAATGCTGACTCGTCGATTTATTTACTAAGTATATAGCTCGTTCTAGCAATCTAAAAGTTTAATTTTCAGTGAATATATATGGATACATAAAAAGGGATATCGGTGTTGGTGTGGGTGTGAGTGTGAGTGTATCAGTGTAGGTGTGAGTGTATCAGTGCAGGTGTGAGTGTGAGTGTATCAGTGTAGGTGTGAGTGTGAGTGTGAGTGTGGGTATAGAAGTGGGGTGTGGGCTTGGGTGTAGGGGTAGGAGTAGATGAAGTTATAAAGAGCAAAATAACCCACACTCATACCTATACTCAGAGATGGAACCGGTCTAGTTTTTTTTCAGACCAGACCGAACCGGACCGGCAAAATCGGTCCACCGATAAAGCCAGTCTAGACAGGCAGAAATGGTCTATCGATTGAAACCAGTCTATACCGGTAAAACTGACCTGCCAGTAATACATCGACTATTGCAGTGAAACTTCTTTTTAATGTATCTCCGGCCAGAGATAGAACCGATTTACCAGAAAAAACCGGTCCGACTGGTCCAAACCGGTCTACCGATAAAAACTTGTCCAAACCAGTTTACCGATCGAAATCGATTTACCGGAAAAAGTTAATCGCTCTAAAAAAATAGGTTTTTTACCAAACCCTCGAAAAACGTTCGGGAGATTTGAAAAAGCGTCCCGATGGCACCCAGAGGCTTGAAAAACGATTCTTCAGTTCTACGAAACCTTTAAAGGTTCTTTCCCAGGATACACGCGAAGAACCTTCTCCTACGAAACCTATTTTTGTGAAACACGATCTGAAAGGAGTGTTGAAGTGTATAGGGTAGAAATTTTGCACCCCCCCCCCCCCCCCCCCCCCCCCCACCCCCCGACACCGCACCCCCCCCCCCCCCCCCCCCACCA